GTCCTCCCCTACCTCCGGTCACTTTGATTCAGCCTCCTCAATGTTGACTCCTTGAGAAAAATTAGGCCCCAATACCCTAGACATCCACTTTGTGGAATGAGTTACCCTTTTATGGATCTTGATGTCCTTTCTCTCTCCCTCCTCCTCATCTTCTTCCCCTCTTTCCTCCTTTTCCCTTTCTCATCCCCTATTCTCTCCCTTCCTTTTATTTAAGTGCTTATCTATTTTAAGGTTTGTTCCATTGGTAGGCTTGTTGAGTTCTTTTCATACTATTAGATTAATTGTTACAAGTTTATGGCTTATATTATTTATTTGTGATTGGCAGAAAAAACTGCCATCAAATATGTCTATTTTTGACATTCTATTTTTTTTTTTTTCAAGATGGGTTCTCTGTGTAACACTCTAACACTCTGTAGACTAGGTTGGCCTTGAACTCACTGAGATCCGCCTGCCTCTGCCTCCCAAATGTTGGGATTAAAGACTTGTGCCACACCCATTCCCTTCCATGACACTTAACAGTTTTTCTTTGTTTTCCTTCAGTGCTAAATATTGAAAATTTCTTCATTATTTTATTTACTTAAAAACTATGTAGATGTTTTTACATAAGAGTTTTACTTTTGCACTTATAAGTTAGTGTGTGTGTGTATCTGTGTGTTGCGTGTGTGTGTGTGTGTGGTGTGTGTGTGTGTGTGTGTGTGTGTGTGTGTGTGTGTGTGAATGTACAATTGTATGTGCCTATGCTCACGCATGTGGAGGCCACAGGAGGATGTTGGGTATCTTTCTTTATCATTTTCTGCCATATTGGCCTGAGATCGGGACTGTCATTGAGCTTGTCTATTTGGCCAGTCAGCTCCCAGGACCTGCTTGTTATGGTCTCCTTTTGTATCCCGCTGCTGGGGTTACAGCATGTGCTGCCTTGTCCAGCTTTTTATATGGGTGCTAGGGATTTGCTCAGTCCTCTTGTTTACACAGCAAGTACTTTTACCTACTGAACCACTTCCCTCATTTCCAAAGACATACCTTGTTTTATGTTTGTCATTGAAGTTATTGGCAAATTGTGTCCAGATATTTATATGACAGTATTTTACTTTCCAGAAAAATTTGTGCCTTTTCTATATAAAAGCTACAATTGTTACTGTTTTGATCTCTAAGAATGTGTTCATTCTTTTGTATCACAAATATTATTTGGTATTTTACAAGATATGTGTGCTGCTAGTTTTATGTGACTTGACATAAGCTAGAGTCATTTTGGAAGAGGGAATCTCAATTGAGAAAATGTCTTCACTAGTTTGCCTTAGGTCAAGCCTGTTATGCTTCCTCTTAATTGATGTGGGAAGACCTAGTTCACTGTGGGCAGTGCCACTCCTGGCCTGGTTTTCCTGGCTGCTATTAAAAAGCAGGCTTAGCAAACCATGAGGAGCAAGCCAATAAGCGTCATCCCTCCGTGGCCTGTGCATCAGCTCCTGCCTCCAGGTTCCTGCTGTGTTTGAGTTCCTGCTCTGACATCCCTCACTGGTGCACTGTGATGTGGAACTGTAAACTAAAATAAACCCTTTCCTTCCTAAGTTACTTTTATTCTTTGTGTTTTATCACAGCTATAGAAATCCTAAGACACTACTTAAATGTTTATAACATATTAAAACACTTCATCCTGATCATAAGAAATTAAGATAGTTATATTAATTCCATTTCTCATTGGTGTGACCAAGTGTCTGACAAGAAGCACCTTAAGAGAGGAGGGCTTCTTTTGGCTCATGGTTTGAGATGTCCATGTCAGGAAAGGCATGGCTCCAGCTGTGGCCAGTTTCTTATTCTCGAGAATCTTCTCTTTTCTCTCAATTACACCTTTAAAGACAACCTGCTTAAGATAGGCTGCTTGCAAAATGGCATGTCTACATGCAGAAGAATGAAATTAGACATTTTTCACTGTATAATCATCTCTTACTGTATAAAAATAAGTTCAAATGTGATCAAGGGCCTAATTTAAAACCTGAGATGGGGTGGGGGGGGGTGGCTGGAGAGATGGCTCAGCGGTTAAGAGCACTGACTGCTCTTCCAGAGGTCCTGAGTTCAGTTCCCGGCAACCACTTGGTGGCTCACAACCATCTTGAGTGAGATCTGGTGCCCTCTGCTGGCATGCAGGCAGAAGACTGTATACATAATAAATAAATAAATTAAAAATCAAATAAATTAAAAATCTTAAAAACAAAAAACAAAAAACCTGAGATGATCTGGGCATGGAGGTACACACCTTTAATCTCAGTTCTCAGAAGATGGAGGCAGGTGGATCTCAATGAGTTTGAGGCCAGCCTGGTTTACATAGAGAGTTCCAGTCTGGCCAGAGGAACACAATGAGACCCTCTTTCAAAAATAAAAGCAACAAAAATTCAAACCTGAAATGGTGTTACTGATAAAGGAAGATAAAGGAAAAACACTTTTGTATAGAGTCATAAGCAAGAATTTTCTGAATATAGAACAAAAGAAGTAGCAAAAGAAGTAACTGCAAGTATTGACCAATGAAATTATAAAGTTGTCACAGTGGAAAAAAAATCAAAACTGTCAACAGAGCAAGCAGACAGTCCACAAAACAGGAGAAAATTGTTACCAGCTATAGTGCAAACAAGGGGTAACAATTAGCATATATAAAGAGGTACGGATTCCCAACTGCAATCAGTAAATGAATAGAATAGATAATAATTGAATAGATAGTTCTTAAAAGAAGAAATGCAAAAATTATTGGTCATATTGATCAATAAATATTTTTGAAAGTGCCCACCATCTTCTGCCTTTAGGGAAATGCAAATTATAACTGCTTTGAGATTCCATCTCACCCCACTCAGAATAACTATCATCAAAAAAAAAAAAAAAAAAGAAAAGAAATTACAACAAATGCTGACAACAATGTGTGGAAAATGGAACTGTTATTTACTGTTGGGAGTGAAAATTGGTATGGTCAGATGGAAGTGTAGAGGCTTCCCAAAAATCTAAAAGTAGAACTGTCATGTGACCTTACTCTACAACTTTTGCACACATACCCAAAGACTACATCCTACTATATAAATACTTTTGACGTCCATGTTTACTTCTGCTCTGTTTACAGTAACAAGGAAATGTTAGTTACTTAGATGTCTATCGATAAATAAATAAAGAAAATATGGTACATATATACACAATAAAATTTTTATTCATCTATAAAGAAAAATGAAAATTTCAGGAAAATTGACAAAACTAGAAAATGTGTATTAAGTGAGCTAATCTAGGCCCAGAAAGAGAAATACCATGTGTTCTCTTTTATCTGCTGAGCCTAGCTTCTAATTGTTAAATGTAAACATGCAGGTGGATGTAGGTGTGGGAGGGTCAGGAAACTGGGAGGGGCTGGTCCATGAGATGAGAAAAAAAGCATCTGTAAGGAAGTGGTGTGGGAGTAAAGTTGAACAAATGTTCTATGAAAGTGGGAGTTGGGGACACTGTTGCAGAAGGATATGGGGGATTGAGGAGTGGGTTGGGACAGGGCAGGAGAATCAACCCAAACTGAGGCAGGAAAATGCACTAAGGAAAACTGTTACTTTTTTTTTTTTGAAGATTTTATTTATTTATTATGTATACAACATTCTGCTTCCATGTATATCTGCACACCAGAAGAGGGCACCAGATCTCATAACGGATGGTTGTGAGCCACCACGTGGTTGCTGGGAATTGAACTCAGGACCTCTGGAAGAGCAGTCAGTGCTCTTAACCTCTGAGCCATCTCTCCAGCCCCGGAAAACTGTTACTTTTAAGTTAAAATTTTTTAAAAAGTTACTGTAAAAATAGATTTTTAAAAAAATTTGTTCCTGTGTAGAGAAATGTGACCTGATGAGACAGCTCAGTGAGTAGAGGTGCCTGCTGCCAAGCATAATGGTGCTGAGTTTGATTTTTAGAAGCATGTGGTAGGAGGAGAGACCTGACTCCTGAAAGTTGTCCTCTGACCTCCACGCTTGTACCATGGGTGGTGCACACATACATGCTCATGTCCTCTTCCCCTTTCCCCTTTCTCTCATGCACAGAGTAAGTGAAAATAGAAAAATCGTTAAGTAGTGCTAAGTTGACAGTTAACACTAGCCATCACTTGCCAATACAATTGAAGTGAATAGCACGCGGGTTAGGTATACCAAAGAATTGCATTCACAGCATCAAAGAATATAATGTTACTTCACCAGGAATTGGGAAAAAGGAATATGGAGAGCTACTTATCAGTGTCCATAAGCTTTCAGTGAAGCAAGATGAATAAGCTATAGAGGTAGATGTAGTAAGTACAGCATTATGCCTGCAGTCAACAGCAGCATGTTAGATCCTTCAGATCTTTGTGAAGATAGGGTTTATGCTAAGTAGTTTTACATTTTGATTAATATGTATCACTTTGGCCTCAAACTTGAGATACTCCTTCCTCAGTCTTCCAAATGCTGTGTATTATAGTCATTTACTATTATGCCTGGTTTTGGTGTTTGTGTATACATTCATAAGTTCATGTGTGTGTATATATGAATGTATGATAGTGAAGGTTAAATTATACAATTTAAAAGTTATATATAACCATTCCTTATGTACTAGTACTTGCTAATTAATGTTTGCAATAATTAAAAGACATCTTGTGTTTTGATAGATTTTTGTGTTTTGAAATAAATTTTGTTTTTATTCCTGCTGATATAATAGTCTTCCCTCTCCCTTTAAGATACCTTTTGTTAAATTTTTGAGATGTCTAGATTTTATTGTGGCTTATAAAAGTAAAGGACTGCCATGCTTATTTTCCTGGTAGGAATAAGCACAAATTAAATTACTGATAATTGTGGATTACTACCATAATTTTAAAATTTGAATTATAAGAGATTAAGGTGAATCCTAGTTTGCTAAATACAGATTTCTGAGAACCCTTACAGCTATTTTTAGCTGCTTGCAAGCTGCTCTGTCTTTGCTAATTGAGGGGAAAGCTGATTTTGGGTGTTTTTTTGTGATGTTCCCAGCACATGCAGATGACAATCCAGGCTCTTCAGGATGAGCTTCGGATTCAGAGGGACTTGAATCAGCTGTTTCAGCAAGATAGCAGCAGTAGGACTGGAGAGCCTTGTGTGGCAGAGCTGACAGAGGAGAACTTCCAGAGGCTGCACACTGAGCATGAGCGGCAAGCCAAAGAGCTGTTCCTTTTGCGGAAGACCCTGGAGGAGATGGAGCTGCGAATTGAAACGCAGAAGCAAACTCTAAGTGCTCGGGATGAGTCCATTAAGAAGCTTCTGGAGATGTTACAGAGCAAAGGGCTTTCTGCCAAAGCCACAGAGGAAGACCACGAAAGAACAAGGCGGCTGGCAGAGGCAGAGATGCACGTCCACCACCTAGAAAGTCTTTTGGAGCAAAAGGAAAAAGAGAATAATATGTTGAGAGAGGTGAGTGCTACCTTCTCAGTTAGAATTTTCTGATTGTCTTTTTTCCCCTTATTAATCAGAACCTTGACCTAGATAAATTTATGTGCCCTGCTGTGCTGCTGGCTAGTAATTTCATCTTTTGTATTTTAGTGCTTCACTGATTTCTTTCCTCTTGAATGGAATGACGTCACCTGATATATATTTTACTCAATAACATCTCCACTCCTGTCACCCTTGGTGTGACTCCTGAGTCGCTGGAGGGATACAGGATTGTTGTAATTTGTTACCTGCCTCTCTATTTTATCATAGAGACAGAACAGCAAAACCAGAATCAGGGTAGCAACTAGCCACTGCTCATTTAAAAAATACTAGTAAGAGACAATAGTACACTGTTACCTCAGTTCACCTATGCTGGTGAAGCTGAAGCAGTAATAAATGTTTGCCTGTGGTTTCCCTGGAAACGTCTGCCTTGCTATGTGTTAAAAATCATTTGCCATGGAGGTGTAGCAAGAAGGAGTGATGTTTTAGAGGAAATAGACTTAAGCTGGCTCTGTGATTAGACCTCACTTTCTGAGGCACTGTTATTTTACGGAAGTGTAAAGGAAGAATTCATCTTACCTGGAGCCAATTTAAAAGCTGCAGTAGATTTTATAACTCTGCTATCTTAGTTAGGGTTTCTGTTGCTATGATAAAACACCATGACCAAAAGCAGCTTGGGGAGTAAAGGGTTTATTTTACTGACAGTTTATATCATAGTCATTGAGGGAAGCCAGGACAGGAACTCAAGCAGGGCAGGAACCTGGAGGCCGGGGCTGATGCAGAGGCCATGGAGGGGTGCTGCTTACTAGCTTGCTCCTTATGGTTTGCTCAGCCTGCTTTCTTGTGTATCCCCAGACCAACACCCACACCCCCCACAAAGGGCTGGCCTCTCCTATGTCTATCACTCATTAAGAAGATGCACTATAGACTTGCCCACAGACCAATTTGATCGGGCATTTTCTCAGTTGGGGTTCCTTCTTCCAAAATAATTCTAGCCTGTGTCAAGTTCACATAAAACTAGCAGGACTTCTGGCTAGATATAAAATTCTTTTTAGCTTCCCTGGGATTACAGGTACATACTACCATAACCAGCTAACTTGTACATTTTGATGTGGGGAGGGGAGTGAGGATCCTCAAATCGTTAGGATGTGCCTGAATAATCCCCTTTTAACATGATTTGGGAGGAAGAAAATTAAAAAAACAAGCAAACATATTCAACTGTGTAAAAGGAGTTCTTAATTGGTCTAAGTAATAAAAAACTAGAGTCAGATATAGAGGAAAATGTTGAGAGATCAGAGAGAAGGATCAAGCCACAACCACACCTTACCTCCTTAGCCTCTCAGCAGATGAGAGCAAGTTCCTGTTTCTTCCTGCTTATATCCTCTCTCTACCCAGTCATCTCCTTCCTGTCTTGTCTGTACAGACCTCCAGACCTCTGTGGTCAGCTAGTGGCAAGCTCCATTCTCTGACCTTCAGACAGGCTTTATTTGTACAAGCAAGATGTCACCACACAACTGGGCATGGTAGAGCACACCTTTAATCCCAGCACTTGGGAGACAGAGGCAGGCAGATCTGTGAGGCCAGTCTGGTCTACAGAGTGAGCTCCAGGTTAGCCAGGGCCACACAGAGAAACCTTGTATTGCAAAAACAAAGCTAAACAAAAAACTGTGAAGCTCTTTACAAGTAAAAATGCCAGGTATATGTAAGCAAAAATTATGGAGCAAATATAAACTTGGTGATGTCTTTTTTCTAATTATAATTTCCTGCTTTAGGAATATTAAATGTTTGCTGTTTCTAAATAGTTCAGTCTATACCAGTAGTTTAGGAATTAATAAATGCCAAATAATTAATAAACACTAAGTACTCTGGGAAGCCACAATTTTTGGGGGCTGTGAAAATTAGAAATATATTTAGCTAAAAAATACTGAAAAAAAACCTGAGAGTTTTAGACTATTTTTTAAAAAATAAGCTGTGTAAATAAATTATATACATGATATGGGAAAATATATCCTCTTGTGCATATAACACCAAACAGTTCAACCTGCCATTCATAGCATAATATCTTACAGGAAATATATAGTCATGCTACTTAAAATTGCTTGAAGGCAAGTGGACACAGTGGCTACAGAAATAGTTATTCTTTGTTTTCTTTTTTAAATATTTTTTTAATTTTAAAACAGTCTTTTCTCATTTTACATCCAATCCCACTTCCCATTTCCTCCCCTACTCCTGCTCTCCCTACTGTTTCCCCACCCCACCACACCCCCCATCCATTCCTCAGAAAGGGGAAGGCGTCCCATGGGGAGTTAACATTACTTTAAGATTTAGCTCAAACGTCAGTTCTGCAGTGAAGTTTCCATGTATAGTGTTGTATGTACATGCAGTAGCAATGATCATATTACTGAAATCATACATGTGTGTTTCTTCAATGTTCACTTGCCATTTTATCCTAAAGATATATATTTTCGGCCGGGTGTTGGTGGCGCATGCCTTTAATCCCAGCACTGGGGAGGCAGAGGCAGGCGG